ATCAAATTCACTGATTCTTTTTACTACTGTGTTAAGCCTTTTCAAAGAATTTTTTATCACTGTACTTTATTTTTCATATTTTTGCATACCAATTTGCCTCTTTTATTATTTTTTAATTTATTTTTATTTATTTATTTATTTTTATTTATTTATTTTTGAGACAGAGTCTCACTTTGTTGCCCAGGCTAGAGTGAGAGCTGTGGCATCAGCCTGGCTCACAGCAACCTCAAACTCCCGGGCTCAAGCGATCCTTCTGCCTCAGCCTCCCGAGTAGCTGGGACTACAGGCATGCACCACCATACCCGGCTAATTTTTTTGTATATATATTAGTTGGCCAATTAATTTCTTTCTATTTATAGTAGAGACGGGGTCTCGCTCTTGCTCAGATTGGTTTTGAACTCCTGAGCTCAAAGGAACCGCCCGCCTCGGCCTCACAGAGAGCTAGGATTACAGGTGTGAGCCACCGTGCCAGGCCAATTTGCCTCTTTTTAATTGTTTCATCTCTATGCTGAAAATCTCCATCAGTTCTGCATGTTGATCACCTTTTGCACTAGACCCTTACCATGCTTATGGTTGTTTCTGTCTGACTTTTTTCTAATGGCTTGGCTATTTTTTTGTTTTCTTCAGTGCCTCCTCTCGTGATCCAGGGTTTAAGTTTTCTTGCTTCTATGTGTGTCTCATGATTTTTTGATTGAATGGCTGATACTGTGTGTATGAGAACAACAGAGAAACTAAGTAATATTTGTGCCTGGTAGAAGGCATGCCCATTCTGTCATCAGGCCACTAATGTGTAGGGCCAAGTTTGTAGTTGAGCTGAGATTTGGCATCGTTGCTACTTTAATTAGATTTAGTTTATTACAGGCTTTCATGTGATTTGAGGAGGCCATGACAACCTTCTCTGGAAGGCTTGTCTTGGTTCTCCTGTCCTCAGCCTTCAGCATGCCCTGCAGGTCTGTGCCTTAGGGGCCAACTGTCTTAGCTTTCCCACCCCTGCCCCAGCCACAAGAGTCCTTTGTGTCCTACTCGGAGATTGCATTGGGTGCCTGGAGGTTTTCTCTCTTCTCCTGCCTTGCCCTTCCTGTACCCTTAGGGTTGGTCTCTCTGTTCTGTTCTCAGACTTCCTCTTGAGCACTTGGTGAAATCCCAAGGCTAAGAGTTGGGAGTGTATTCAGACTCTTTAAGTCTCCTGGGAATTCTAAACCTGTACTCTACCTTTAAAATTTTGTTAAAATCACATTATTTTCTTCATCTCTGTTGGCTTCTTCTTAGTCCTGCTGGTCTGCCAGTAATGAAAGCAGAGAGAGAGAAGTGGGAGAGAGAGTGTGTGTGTGTGTGTGTGTGTGTGTGTCTGTCTGTCTGTCTCCTCTCCAGGGGGAGGGCTTTTTCACTTTCTAGATTTAGGTTCATTAAGTTTTCTTTGTACCTTTGCTCTTAGATGGAGTTAAAAGAAACAACTGTAGTTCTCTATCTCTGTCTTACTGGTAGGGTGGGAATCGTGTTCTTTCCTAATTTCCTACATTGTAAGCAGAGCAACAGTTCTCTAATGATTAATTATTTGAATTCACTTTAATTGGAACATATCCTATTTCTGATTGTATCATTGCTTGCTCTATTTGAAACATCTTTTTGGTGGACAGAAGAAAGAAGTTATAAAGACTTCACCCTGAGTAAAATTAGGCAACATACTTTTATCATCTCTGGAAAAATGTCTGATTCATAGATGTACTTTATATTTTTTTTCCCCAGAAACCCTTATGAAAAACTGATTACAACTGCTACATTTATCTAACCTTAAAAGTCCTTTGTTATGGTGTTGACACTTTTCTCTCCTCATAATAAAAGTTAGTGCAGAACTTGTGCTGATTTGGTTTTTTTTTTTTTGCATTTCCTTTTCAACAGTCCTCTTAGAAAAGCATTATAATACTCTTGATTGTTACTATCATAAGTTTTGGTGGCTTCTAAGTTTTTTCACTTAACAGCTCCATTTACAATAATGTCTCTCCAGACTTGTCTTGCGATTGTTTCTCTCTACTTTTTTCTTCTTGTATGTTTTCTCAATTTAAGAGCTCAGTGATCTATCAGATAAAATACCAGGAAAACATGTATTTTCCACATCCTTTGATAGAACTTAGATAAAAAAATGCAATTGAAAGAGAATTAATAGACATGGAGTAAAATGTAAAATATAGATAATAGCTCCATAGACAGTTTCTAATGCTAAAGCCTAACTAAGATAGTGCCTGATGCATAATAATACATATTTTTTTTAATGGGTGAATGAAAAGAGATTGAGACGCTGATTTAAGAACAAGAACTTGTTTATTCACGTTAAATGTTTCTTCAGATTTCAATTTCCAACTTTATGCTTTACAGATAATAATTATGGTTTTAAGGAAAGAAAGACTGTCCTGCTAACTTGTTCTCTTTTACCTTGTTTGTTTTTCCTTCATGAAGTTTATACTGTTGCCTTTGTGTTTACCAAGAATCAGTTTTAACTCACTGCGTGTGGTCAGTTGTTCAGAGCTTAGGACAGTATCTGGCACTTAGGTAGGTATTTGGGTTGTAGTTTGGTTGAGATAAGAAAATAGCAGTGTTCTCGGCTGCACCAGTGTGATGCGTTGCAGCAATATTAGCTCAAGAACCCAAATAAGAACTTTCTCAGTTTTAATTCTAACTCCACTGGAGTCACTAATGTTGTTATCTTAGCTTCTCCATGAAATGAAGATGGAATTGCTATTTCTTTCTTTATTTAAATGTGAATAATACAACACACTGTTGTAAAATTTTTCTGTTCTTTACTATTCTTATATTCACCATGTTGTCATTTATATCAATTAGAGTTTATTAATAAAACATGTCCTTTGTTTCAAACACTACAGAATTTTTAGAGTTTAGTTTAACAGTGAGATGCTATTAATACTGCAGTTTGGGCCGGGCGTGGTGGCTCACGCCTGTAATCCTAGCACTCTGGGAGGCCAAAGTGGGTATATCATTCAAGGTCAGGAGTTGGAAACCAGCCTGAGCAAGAGTGATACTAAAAATAGAAAGAAATTAATTGGCCAACTAAAACTATATAGAAAAAATTATCCGGGCATGGTTGCACATGTCTGTAGTCCCAGCTACTTGGGAGGCTGAGGCAGGAAGATCACCTGAGCCCAGGAGTTTGAGGTTGCTGTGAGCTAGGCTGACACCACAGCACTTTAGCCCAGGCAAAGAGTGAGACTCTGTCTCAAAAAAAAAAAAAATACTGCAGTTTGAAATGTGTCCAGTGTTTCCTAAAGTCTCATTTTCTGCTTAATGATGTCCTAGCAATTGTTTATTAAAAAAGAAAAGAAACTTGAGAAATTTAAAATGGTTAAAACATGTTCTAGTGCATGTTTTATTTTTTCCTAATGTTTTACAGGGTAGGAGTCAGTAAATAGAAGATGAATACAAGCAGTCTGTGTGATGGGACAGGAATCTAGACTTACATAATGCTAGCAGCCGATCCCTTTAATTTTAAAGTAATGTTTTCTAAGTGTGAAGTGTTATGAAGAGTATGTAGTGTAATGAATTCATGCTCAATAGTGGAAATGTTTTGAGTTACCATTTGCCATTTACATTTGGCAAGATGTAAACAAATAGAATTCTTTCCTTGTGGATGATCTAGTTTTACTTAATCTCTCATCTTACATCAGTTGGTTGTTGTCTGCTATCATACATAGAATTTTCACTACCCTAAAAATCCTCTGTGGTTTGCCTATTCATTGCTTTCCCTCCAATCCCTGGTAACTACTGATCTTTTTACCATCTCTATAGTTTTGCTTTTCCAGAATCATACAGCATGTAGACTTTTCAGATTGGCTTCTTTCATTGAATAATGTACAATTTAAGTTTCCTCCATGTATGTTCATGACTTGAAAACTCATTTCTTTTAGCGCTGATATTTCATTGTCAGGATGTACCAGAGTTTATTAATCCATTTACCTACTCAAGTTTTAGCAGTTATGAATGAACTTGCTATAAATATCCACATGCAGGTTTTTGTTTGGACATGCATTTTCAACTCCTTGGGGTAAGCATAGGAATATGATTGATGGGTCCTACAGTAAGAGTATTTTTACTTTTGTAAGAAATGACCAACTGTTTTCCAAAGCATCTGTACCATTTTCATTCCCAGCAGCAGTGAGTAAGAGTTCCTGTTGCTCTATAACCTCATCAACACTTGTTGCTGTCAGGGTTTTGGGTTTTGGCCATTCTAACAGGTGTGTTGTGGCATCTCATTTTAATTTGCATTTCCCTGATGATTTGGATGGGGGAGCATCTTTTGTTAGACTTATTTGCTATCTGTATGTCCATGTGTATATCCTCTGTGACCCAACAATACCATTTCTGGGTACATATCCAAAATAATTGAAGGGAGGGACTTGAACAGATATTTGTACATATATGTTCAGAGAAGCATTACTCATAATAGATAAAATGTGGAAGCAACCCAAGTGTCCATGGTGTATGAATGGATAAACAAAATGTGCTATACACACATGATGGGATGTTAGCCTTAAAAAGGAAGAAAATTCTGACACATGCTCCAACATGAATGAACCTTAAATATGTTATGCTAAGTGAAATAAGCTGGTCACAAAAAGATAAAGAGTGTATAATTCCACTCGTGCGGTACCTAGAATAGTCAAATTCATAGAGACGGAAAATAGAATGGTGGTTGGCAGGGGCTAGGGAGGGGGCAGTGGAGAGTTACTGTTTAATGGGTACAGAGTTTTAGTTTTGCAAGTTAAAGTTCTGGAGGGGATAGTGGTGATGGTGGTACAATGTGAAAGTGTTTAGTGCCACCGAACTGTACATTTAAAAATGGTTAACGTGGTAAATTTTGTTATATGTATTTTACCACAGTTAAAAATTAAAAAAACAAAAAACTTACACAGTAAAATCTTTGGAAATAGCAAGAAGGGTTTTGTTACAGCAGCCAAGGGGTAATCTGATCTGTTACTGGTGTCTTTCAGGCCTGGCGTTTCCCTGACTCTGCAGGCGTTTTCAGAAGAGGAAAGGAAGCAGTGGTTGGAAGCTCTGGGCGGAAAAGAATCTGTAAGAATAATCAATGGTTGAGCTTTATTTCAAATCCTTTAGAGTTGACTTGCATTCCTTTTTATGTTATTTTTGTTTTATAGCATTTGAGAAAAGTTCCCTGCCGAAATAGATATTAGAATTCATCTTGGAAGCATTCGACATTCTAGTAATTTGGCTTGGGCTAGCAGCAGCCACACATGAGACTGGTGTATCATTTATTTTTATTTCTGATTTTTCTCGAGTTTGCCACTCTGATTTGCTTCAGTTGAGAAAGTCATCTAAATTCTTGATTTCTTCTTTCCAACCTGATGGTACTTTAGGTGATGAACACAATAAATGCTTGGAATGCGTTTTGATCTCTGTGAAGATGGAACAGTAGATATGAGGCATTGTGGGCAATATTACTAAATATATTTACTAATATGTTATATAATATATTACATATATTATAATTATATAATATTACTAAATACTGCTGTAATTATTTTGCTTGATTTAACAATTTATGGTTTAGTCTAATGGTTTACAGTATGCAGTATTATGTAGGCTTAGTGAGTGGGCCTCTGTTCAGATTGCTTTGAGGAATAAAATAAAGGTAGCGATATGGACTGGAGGCACTGGAATTCAGCCTGTTAGCCACTGTATCCAAGTACTACTTTCATTTCGGTGGACCTAGTGGCCTTTGGGAGTGAGAATTTGGCAGATCATGCATTGAATTAGGGATTTAGTAAGAATAATTATAGCAATGCCATAGAACCAATTTAAATACACTCTACTTCAAGTATTATGACTCTAAATAAACTGCCAGTGCAGGTACCAGGTGGGCTTATCTGGAAAGCATTTGCCACTTCAGCAGGATTTAGAAAAAAAGGAAAGAACATGGTTTCTAAGTAGAAGAGGGGGTCACATACAGTAAAGAGAGAGAGGTTTCAGAATAGAGCTTGTGAAATGGGCAAAAGATAATGTTTTCTCATGGTGAGAGTATAGGAAATGGGAGCAAGGAGGCTGGTCTGCAATCTTGACATAGGGCTTGAAAAATGAAAACACTAATATTTTAAAAATTGATGCTATGTTGAAGGAATGTATCACCCTTGCAAAAAAAAATTGGGGTCATATTTTTTTGTGTTATCTTACCATATTTGAGCTGCATTTAGCCTCTGTAGTTTTTACTTCTATTTATCCTCAGTTTGTCCTTGAAATTTTTAGCTGAGAGTCAATAGTATTTACAGTGCTTATGGTTACTGAGAGTCAAAACAGCTGATATTAATCTTTAGTAAGGCAGTACACTAACTAGCATATATCTCCCCAGAGATTCAAATTCTTTGGAAAGTGAGTTTACATAGCAAAAGATCACACGAGGCCGGGTGCGGTGGCTCACACTTGTAATCCTAGCACTCTGGGAAGCTGAGGCAGGAGGCTTGCTTGAGCTCAGGAGTTCGAGACCAGCCAGAGCAAGAGTTGAGACCCTGTCTCTACTATAGATAGAAATAAATTAGCCAAACAACTAAAAATAGAAAAAATTAGCCGGACACAGTGGTGCATGTCTGTAGTCCCAGCTACCTAGGAGATTGAGGCAGGAGCATCGCTTGAGCCCAGGAGTTTGAGGTTGCTGTGAACTAGGCTGATGCCCAGGCAAGAGAGTGAGACTCTGTCTCAAAAAAAAAAAAAAAAAAAAAAAAAAAGAGCCAAGTGATTAACTCAGATAAATAGACAAAAGCAAGTGTGCAGAAAGATGATATTCAGCTATGGATTTATATGGGGACACTTAAGGTACTGCACATTTTTGGCAGGTGCTGTAAGCCTTGTAAAAATGGGCCAGCATTAGAATTCTTAAAGGCTGTCCAGAATTGTCACCTTGCTATTTCAGATGTAGTTATTTAAGTTATGGGCAGGGGTTGTCTCTTTAAGTAAATGCCAGATATTAGAAATAATGGTGAAAAAAATGTGGTTCATCTTAGTGATTAGAATACAGCAGTTTCTTTGTTACCGTTCTAAAGCTGAGTGTTTCAAATGTACATAAACTTTTAATAAGTCTCTTAAGGACCATGTGCCCTTCATCTTATTTTTGCTGGATTAGCATACCTCAGTAAGAAAAAAAGTGCTCTCAGAGATGCCCCTTTTTGTTATTTATCCTCATGTCTGAGCACATGATAGTACGGAAGTAAGAAAACACAACACTGTTTCTCCACATTCTCACACAGAACACTTCTGACACTGGATGCATGGGTTTTTTTCTGTTATGGACCAATTCTCTGACACTGGGTGGGTGTCCTACAATTCAGTTTAATTCTGACACTACCTGGAGTCAGTGTCAGACCCCACACGTTAAGGGCTCAGTCCCCTGTGACTGCCTGCACTTCCGACGCGGGGCACAAGTCTGGTCCTCTCATACTTTGCACTGACTGGCTATAAATTGGGGATTCCCATGACCCCCCTCCTCAGGTTCCATACCTTGCTAGAATGCCTCACAGAACTCAGGGAAACATTTTATTTATGTTTACCGGTATGTTATAAAAGATGCAGCTCAGGAGCAGCCACATGGACGAGATGTTATGCGGCAGTAGTGTGCCGCCCTCCCGGCACTTGCATGTGTTCACCCCCCTGGAAGGTCACCAAATCGCATTGTTTAAGAGTTTTTATAAAACTTGATCTCCAACTTAGTGAAGTGGCTGGCACCTGTAGTCCCAGCTACTCAGGAGGCTGAGGCCGGAGGATTGCTTGAGCCCAGGAGTTTAAGGCTGCAGTGAGCTATGATGATGCCACTGCACTCCAGCCTGGGCAACAGAGCGAGACCTGTCTCTTATAAAAGAAAGCAGCAAAGGAGTTCAGCCCCCTTAAAAACAGTCTCCAGCTCATTTTCCAAGAGGTTGATGGGAGGGACTGAAAGTCCCAACCCTCTTATCACTGGTCTTTCTGGGGTCCAGCCCCTTTCTGAGGCTACCAGGGGGCCTATCCTAAGTTACCTCATTAGCATAAGCTGAGGTGTGACCTGGTTGGGCTCATTATGAATAATAAAAGACATTCCTACTCAGTAAATTCCAAGGATCAATAAATTTAGGATCTCTGTGCCAGGAAGCAGGGAGAAAGACTTTGCAAATATATTTCTTCTTATTTTCCACTCAAGTTTATGAAAATACACAAGGTCCTAAGTGTGGCTACTTAAATAAGTTTTATTGCTTTATTAAAAATATTGTTTTTCCTTTCTTTTACTAGCTGTTCCATAGTTTTAATAGAGCTATCATCCCACGACCGGAAGGAAGTAAGTGCTAATTTATAAAAATGGCTGCTCATCTCACTTTTTCATGCTTTGTGTGTATTACTGATGTCAAACTGCTGCTGCGGGCTTATTCTCTGCACCCTCTCTAAGTTCTCTGGCGTATGTATCGTGTTACCTACTACCATAGCTCTCGCTGATCTTTCCTATCTGTGAGCTTTTCTGAGTCCTTCTCTACGAAACCCAAAATACTCTTTCTACAATTCCCTTTGGTATTTATTCTTATAACCATAAGCAATCACGTAAGAGTTTCAGGTGGGCAGCCTCCACCTTCCTAAGTTGTAAGCTCATAATCTTTATCCTTATAGTCTCTGAGTTTGGGCTACACACATAATGTATCATTGCACAATGGAGAATGGTAACAACTGATAACAACTAAACATGTTCGACTATTCTAGAACAATGACCTTCATCTGCACTATATGTACTAGGAGAAAATGAACTGCTGCCCAGTTCTATACCCTCGATTTTTTACCGAGATAAACCAAAAATGTGATCGCATTAGTTGGGTTCTTTATGAATTTGCTTTTGGTATACTTGGAGACATTAAGGCTACATTTATCAAATGTTCATAGTGTGGAAACACTGTTATGTAACATCTGATTTCAGAGTAATGGTGATCACTTGAGCCATTGCTCGAATGAAAACACAGCTCTCTTAGCTTGGCACTGGAGATGGACAGGTGCCACAGAAGGTCGGGGGCACGTCCACATAAGTGCCTTCTTAACCCCTGTCCCTTCTTCCCTCCCCCTTCCCTCCTTTGATTTCCTGTCTGCTGTCTTCCTTCTTCCTTTCCTCCTCTCATTTTCTTTTACTTCCCTCCTTTCCTCCTTCTCCCTTTTGCTTTTCTCCTTCCCTCTTTTTCCTTCCTTCTTTACTTATTAGAGAAGTGAAAACATTCCTTTTTTGTTTGTTTGGAAAAATAGTCTTACTAAGCAGAAATACTTGTGCTTAAAAAACTTTGTGAATAGTGGATTCGTGAAGAGAAAACCACTGCCCAATTCTCTTCATTAAAATTCTCCTCAAGCTTAGTTTTATGGATTATGTACAAAGTTTATATTCCTGGATTATGTGTCTCCTCTGGGAGCCAAGGGTTAGTGTTACTGTTCCCTGGGTTCTACATGCAGTGGCTGAAGGTGCCACTTTTCTTGATTTAATTTTTGAAACAAGAATTATCTTTCATTGGGATACACAGATATGCCAGCCTAATCACAGGCATGCATCTATATTAGAAAAAGTATAAAATTATATTTCCAAAATAGTCTGTTCTGCCACATGAATCCATTTTAAATTTATTATAAAAATAATAAAATATTATTTTAAAAGCTTGGAGCATAGTATAAAATCTCAAAATTTTAAAATGAGCTCATTGCCCAAATATTTTTTAAAAGCTTTTCTTAAAATTATTCCTCCAACGTTTAAAAAAAAAGGTTTGTATTCTTAGAAAGAACCTTCATTTATATATATAGTTTTCTTTAATTGAGCTGCTGTTAGAATTTTTGGCAAAATATATCTTGACTATTTCTAGATAGCGTCCCTTAGAGGTTTGGATCATTTCTTTTTGACAGTCTGAAATAAGTTATATTTATTAATTTAAAAATTATCTTACAAATTTATTTATAAATTATTGGTAATAGATGTCCTGACTCTAATAAGTACTCTTCTAAATATGTGAAATTTCCATTTATATCATTTAAATGGGAAACACATGGCCTTTAGCTTTTTTAAAATAGTGAAATAAAAAATTGGACTTAAATAATTTTTTTTCTATTTTTGTAAGGAAGAGAAAGACGATAATTATGCCCTTAATATTTTATAACTATATTTCTTTTAGGTGCACAGTTGGATAAGATGGGATTCACAATTCTCAGAAAATGCATCAGTGCAGTTGAAACACGAGGTAACGTGATTGTCTGTATCCTTTTATTCATGAAAGCTGTAGGTATGTAAAATCTAAAAGTCATTTAAAACACTCCTTGCATAGTTAAGTGTTATGAAGTACGTTAATATGACGTACTCATTCTAGGTATCACAGAGTCAGTTACTCATTTACTATTGCATATAGAATCTTCCCTTTTATATATACATTTCTTTCCTATATGAAGAAGTCAGTGTTGAAATGAGAATTGTGTTAGTTTTCTATCCATGCCATAACAAAATACCACAGACTGGGGTGCTTAAATAACGGAAATTTACTTTTTTGACAGTTCTGGAGGCTGGAAATCCAAGACCAAGGTGTCAGCATGTTTGGCCTCTCCTGAGGCCTCTGTAATTGGCTTGCAGATGGCCACCTTCCCACTGTGTCCTCACATGGCCTTTTCTCTGTGCGTGCATGTCCTGGGGTTTCTTGCATGTCCAGATTTCCTCCTCTTATAAGGACCTGAGCCCTATTGCATTAGGGCCCTCCCCTAGGGGGGTCTCATTTTAACTTAATCACTTCTTTAAGGACCCTATCTCCAAATACAGTCACATTTTGAGAAACTGGGAGTTAGGACTTCAACCTGTGAATTTAGGGGGATATACTTCAGCTCAGAAGAATCCATAGAAGGGTCAGCAGTGTTGGATGACGACTGATCTCAATCACTTTCTGTTCAAGCATTATGAAGACATTCATCTTCCATTGTTTTGTGGGTCCCCGTTAAAAAGTCTGTTTTATTGAGGTATAATTTGCATGCAGTAAAATTGACCGATTTTAATTGTACAAATTGATGAGTTTTGAAGACATAGATAGTTGGGTAACTACTGCTATAATGATAGGAGATTTCTGTTTTCCTCCAGATTCTTTTCTGCAGTCAATCTCCACTGCCTCCTTGGCCTTTATCACCGAGCTGCTTTTTATCACTCTAGTTCTGCCTTTTTTTTAAAAGCATTTTGTGCAAATGGAATCATACAGTGTATAGTTTTTTGACTCTGGCCTTATCTAGGTAATGTTTATAAGACTCATTGAGTAGATTCTTAGTTCATTTCTCTTTATCAGATAGTATTCCATTATATGGATATACGACAGTTTGTTTATGCATTCACCTGTTGATACATATTCGAGTTGTTTCCATTTTAAGTTTAAGCAAAACTAATTCCTCCTGACCCAAAGTCCAAAAGATTTTTTTTCCCCTCATTAGTCTCTACAGAAAAATAAGGCCCTTTCACTTTGCAGCCATTTCAGACTTTGGAGAAAACAGATATTGAACACTGCAAAATAGGCTGTTTCTGGAGGTTCAAGGTCTCTTTGTTTATAGACCCAGTGAAGTATAGATAAATTGAGTATTGAATTTACTCTTATGTGTTGTCTATTCTAGTCCTACTTTGGATGCCTTAGTGGGACGAGACACTGCATTCACATTTTCTGTCCAAACAAGGTCTTTGTTATAAAGCCAGCACTGCCACCTATAAAATCAGGGTGCTGGAGAACTGAAGAATAGGAACTGTTTTATGATTTGGGGATTTTCTCATCAATAACAACAACACAAGCCACAGAAAGCCGTATCTCCCACACTTGTACAGCGGCAATTCAGGCTGACAGATTTTCATTCATTTCAACTGGCACTAAAGTTGAGCTGACAAATTTGTTCATTTTCTTAGTGCTTCAAAATTTCAAAAAAAAAATACTGTACTTTTAATCTCTTAATCAACATTCATGTTTCTTTTATTGTGAGTTCCTTAAGTTAAAGCTTTAATCATATCATTTGCATGTCTATTAATTTTGATAAATCAAATTCTTTCTCCAAAGGATATGTTTTATACATATTTGCTTCTCCGTGAATGGATAAAGAAGGCTTTCTGATTGATATATGTAGTAAAGTATTGGAATCTGGATGGATTGAATGTGTATTTATTATAAAAATGTAAATTACTGGATTTTTAAAAACAGAAGAATGGGTCTATACATTTAATGCTTGATTTTTCCATTTACAAATAAAAAACACATGCTTTTCTTTTCAAATCTTTTGTTCTCAAAGGTCTTCCATTACTGAAACCTTTTTTTATTATCTTCATTTTCTAATGTTATCTAAACTTGACCATTACTGAAACCTTTTGCTTTTAATGGAATAATAGACTAAAAATAGATTTAAAAGAATCAACAATCAGATCAAATTATTAAAATAAGCAGGAACATTGTAGACTCTCTCAGGCTTGTATCCTAAATTTGCAAGTTCCTTTAGGAAATACTGCTCTTAATGATTTCTCCCAAATCTTTCTTTATGCTAATGGTGGTGTTGCCTCACTTTTCTTTCCTTCCTCCCTTCCTCCCAGTGGGGATAAAGCTGGTTTATGGTCCTGTAATGAGAAACCCACAACTCTCCATGGCTTAAAACACAAGACTTAACTTTTTACTCATCAAGCATTGGTTTGAGGGCTTTGCTTATCACCTGGGTGTAGGAAGCAGCTGGCCAAGTTAAAGGTGCCTGATTGCCCTGCAGAGGGAAAGGAAGCTCTGAAGGGCTTGGGACCAGCAAGTAAAATGCCCTGGCTTTGAAGTGAGTTATATTTGCTCACAGCTAATTGCCCATAAATAACCGGTATCTGCGTAGCCCCCACTCAACCCTAAGGGACTCTTGGAAGCATAACCCTACTGTGAGCCTGGAAGACAGGTAGAGAGCTGGAAATAGTTGGTAAAATAGCATTATTGACTACCACATACTACTGGATCTATATACCAGAAGTATTTAATGAGATCTAATTGAAGAATTATTTCTGATTACTGTTTTCCATATTTAAATTTGACTATTGTTGTCTGAAAACTACCATTTCATATGGTTTTGTTAAAGCAGTTAACATTTTTCTTACCCTTTTTTTTATGTGAGCTTAGAAGATGTTTATTGGAACAAAAATATAAACAAATGACCTAAAAGACAACTATGACAATACTTAATATTTAAATGTAATTTCTCAATTTATGTTTATGATTTATGAAATGTTCCATATATTTCTATTTAAATGTAATTTTTCTTATTTCCTCAACTTAATTTATGTTTATGATTTATGAAACGTTCCGTATTTTTCTGTTGTAACTTTATCGCATGTGTTGTACCGAGCAGAAATGTTTTTAGCTTTTAGCACAACATGACTTTCTCTAAATGTTTTTGTGGCCCAAAGTTTATTTGCCTTACTCGGGATAAACTGGAGATCTGACAGTCCCACATTCATCTCAGGACAGATACTCAGGAAGTCTTGATCTTCATTAATTGGATTTGCAGGAGTGAAAAATGGGCTCAATGATTCTGTAGCAGAAACTTGAGTGAATGTAAAAATGTAGGATCCATCGCTAATGTTATAAAAGGAAATGATTCCAATATCCACATCCAGGAAAATCCCTACTTGGTGACACTGGGGCCTCACCCAGTGTCGTGGCTGAGAGGAACTCTTCATTTCCTCTCAAGCCCACAGTCCAGAAGCTAAGTTCTGAGGACAGTAGAATTGCCCCTTGTCACTTAACAGATTCTTTGCAAACAACTCATATTCCGTTCTTTGCTCGTTCCCATGTCCACCTCTACCTCCCAGTATTGGTGGCCAGAGGTGAACTTAGGGGAACCCAGGACACAGATTACATGTTTGAATCTTTCAATATACTCTTTGTGATTTTTTTTTTTTTTAACTATTCACAACAGATGTGCCTCAGGTCATCAGAAATGGCTATGTTGGCCAGGTGCGGTGGCTCACGCCTGGAATCCTAGCACTCTGGGAGGCGGAGCCGGGTGGATTGCTCAAGGTCAGGAGTTCGAAACCAGCCTGAACAAGAGCAAGACCCCGTCTCTACTATTAAGAAAGAAATTAATTGGCCAGCTAATATATATAGAAAAAATTAGCCGGGCATGGTGGCGCATGCCTGTAGTCCCAGCTACTAGGGAGGCTGAGGCAGGAGAATTGCTTGAGCCCAGGAGTTTGAGATTGCTGTGAGCTAAGCTGACGCCACGGCACTCACTGTAGCCTGGGCAACAAAGTAAGACTCTGTCAAAAAAAAAAAAAAAAAAAAAAGAAATGGCTATGTCAACATCTAAGATCATATCCACTTGGAATGTCAGCATCCTTTATTCTAGAAACCATCTTCCCTCGTTGGTAATTGTGCCTGATGTCTTTCTTCTGAGTGGCCGCAGAGCAGAAGGGGCACAATAAACCCTCCCCATCAAGTTCCGGCAGAATTGAGTCGAGGACGCATTAGAGGCAGCAGACATATCCACAGTTTAGGGACATGAGGTTTTCAAGACAAGGTAGGCAGATGAGACATCTGCTGCTTTAAGTTGTTCAGCTGTGGCCGCTGTGTCTCCTCCACTAGGTTCTCCTGTGTCCTCCAGCTGCTTCTACTGACAGCTCGGTTGTGGAGTGAGCTCTCTTTACAATGGGCTTTTATGTGGGGGATCCATCCTCCCACTTTATGCACATGCTGCTTATCCCCCTTAATCAGATTTTGATTTAATTCTGCCATATTAGATTTTTACTGAAGTCATAGGTAGATTACCACAACCAAGGGAGATCATTATAACATAAGGGTTTTTAAAAGTAATGTGGACAAATATTGCCATTTTATTATCCTGTATTAATCCGTGTATATTATGCATGTTGATGTAAGATTTGGAATTAGGACTAAAACTTTTAAAAGGAAATATTTGGCATCAAAATTAATTGTTATGAATGGAGCTAGTTTCAAATAATTTTTGATCATGAAAATAAAACCTCATATTTTGATTAAGAAAATTAATCCACTTACTCAAGAGGTCTTTCCTCAAATCATACTCATTAAACTAGTCATTTATTCAAAGAGATTTTTTTCTCCAAGATTGTGAAGATCCTTGTTTAGAATTTGGTTAAAAAAAACAACAACAACCTAAAACTGATCACCTGTTATACAACCAGACAGCCTTATAAGGTCCTGTTTTTGTTTTTGGTTACAGTATCAAAACTAAA